AGATAATAGTCTTAGTTTTATAGTAAAAGGACAGTATTTTATTGTTGCTTTTTCTTTAGTACATTCCTCTCTTTATATATATGTTAAGAAATCCCAAAAATCTCAAAAATCTCTCAAGCCCCAATTAAACCTCAATTGGGTAAGGATGACATATGTTGAATCTATTTAATTTTTCGGTCCCTCTTACAATATATACTTTTCTATTTTATTAAATAAATATCTTGAACTTTATAAAAAAATTATTATTGTCTTTTTAATTAAATTACAAATTGCAAAACTATAATAATTATATATATATTTTTTTAAAAACTATAATAAAATAATAAAATAATATAAACATATAATATTCTTATCTAATTAAAGTTTAATTAAATATGAATAATTTTTGAATTTTTGAAATTTTGAAATTTTCTTATATACTGTATATTATAATAAATTAAATATAAATTTAATTATAAAAACTAATTTATTAATATTAAAAAATTTTTAAAAACAATATACAATATTTTATTAAATAATATTAAATAGTCATAAATGTTTATTTAAATTTTAATAATAAAATATTAAAGTAAATATAAATAAATTGAAAAAACAATTAAAAATATTATAGTTATATTGAATAAAAATATTGTAATTATAAAAATAAATTAAAATAAATCATATTTTAAGATATATTAATTAAAAAAAGTTTTTTATTTTTCAAGATTTGAATTTGATTTTAGAATTATTAAATAAATCAATAGCAATATTTTGTTTTGATTAATTCTAATAAATAAAAAATACTAATTATATAATACTAAAATTTTTAAACAAAATATAATTTTTTAAATTTATTTATATATTTATATATTATTATTAGAAATATGAATAATTTATTGTAAAGTTAAAATTATTTAAAATTAAATTTAATGGATATTTTAATTATGTTAAATTAATAAAATATAATATATAGTATATTTAAAAAAATATAATATATGGTATTTAAAAATTTTATAACTATTTTAAAAATTAATTATAAGGCTATATATGTAATATAAAATTATTATTGTTATATTATAATGATTAAATTGTAATTAAGTTAAATACAAAATATAATAATTTAAAATCAATATAGTTAAAATAATTTTAGTTTAAATAAATTATTTAATTAAATAATCAAATTTATTATATTATTTCAAAACACGAATTTATTATTATAATTAATATTTTTAATAATAATTTTATTTTAATGATTTTAGTATTTTGATTATTTGAAATATTTTGATAATGCTTTATATCTTTGAAAAATAAAATAATCTTTTATAGTAAATGATCAAAACTGGATTTTATAATATATAATTTAAACTAATTATAGATTTTTTTTGTAATATATTTCATTAAATATGGAAGATTGCTTTATTGAAGTAAGTACTTAGTACATTGGATATGTTTATAGGTATAGAATGAATTAATATAAATGACATATAATAAATTTTAAAATTTATTTATTTATTATTCTTTTTAATATTCAAATTAAAATCAGATGCCATATAATTGAAATATTAAAGATTTTTACTTTGAAATTTAAATATGGTAATAATTTTTTTATAATAATAGGTTTTATATATAATTATACATAATTATTAAACTTTTTATTAACGGTAAGGTTAAATTATTACAGGAATATTTAATATAAGGATATTTATTTCATCAAATGTTTGTCTGACATACTGTGAGACACAACTTAAAAGGAATGAAATTAACCGCGAAAAGGTCTTGGCAACGCAAAACAAATTATTACTAGAATTGCGCAATTAACTATTCACTTCCGGGGTAAACCTTTCCTATGTTTATGGACGTCAACAACGTTGTTTTGGTTATTGAACATGAAACATTAGAACAAGATAATGCCTTTTTGAGGTCGCAAAGGAGTTCTATTTGATAAGTTTGTTTATCCGGCTACCAAAAGGGATCTAACAATTGGTTCGTTTTCAACAAACAAATATAATTCTCAAACAAGGTAATCACGTGTATTATAGAGACATAGGTTATTGTCCTCATCTAGTCAACATCAAAGTGTAGAAAAAATGGTAGCAATGCAGGAGCTTAAAACACATGCATCATTAGGCAGACCCATCCTTGTAAATTGGAGGCTAATGGAAGCGTTAACTTGGATTAAGATTTAAATTGCTGCTATCGTTAGAAAATATTTCGTTTATTATTGAAACAAAATTAGAATTATTTTGGTTGCAAACTCGTGGAAGAGCGAAAGGCTGATTGTGTCTGCATTTTGGTTGCTGTGTGGAAAGATCATCACGCACCTCATTCATTGTGCGGTATATTCATTACAAAAAAATTTTTTTTTATTGCTATTCAATTAGTTTTCCAAGGATTGCCGGATTTTTTAGGGAAAAAACCGAAAACAATGTACAAAATGTAAACACTGTATATCCTGACTATTGTTGTATGACTCATTCGAGGAATTTATTACTCGTGTAACAATATTCTATCAATGGCCACATGTTATAAATTCTCTATTACAAAATGTTGCGCGATTTCACGAACCTCTAGACATAATTAATGAAGAATCCACACATGGTAATCCAGCACAAAGCATAAAAGTATGAGTAGCAATCAAACATCATGTCATTTTGACTCGGGCATATTTATGCTTTGCGAAGCTAGACCAATCTTTCTGGATATTATATATGTAACGACTGGTCTATATTGCTTATTATCGGTGCTTTCACTTTCTTTGCTTCTGTATAAGACTTTCTTTAAGAAAGCATCATGGTGGAATGATTATATGGTAGAACCAGTAATTGGATTCTTGACTTTTCTGACTTTACATGGATTGTGTGCGTACCATTCTTCTCATTTATTTATTTAAATATTCACGAGCTAACTTTTGTACTTTATAGTTCGATCACTCACTTTGATTATTTTGGCGCGCGAATTAATTCCCTCGAGATATATCCTCAAGTCGATAATATCATTTTTAAGTTGTCTATTTGAAATAATCGCTATTTGGACTTACATGGTTGGAATGTGAGTTTATCAATGACCAAATACATAGACGGACATATCACGTTCTAACATCGTTAAATTCGCATTCAGCTTTAAAACACTGCCGAGATTGGCATTTCATCAGATCAACACCTTCAACGGTGACAAACACTTCATTCCGGGAGATCGTTTAATAAAATTATCATACTGGGCATTTGTCATCATAACGACTAATTTAACATTAATATCCGCAATACTAAAAGGCTATTATCAAACAATCGGAGATGAACAGGGATCTAGCATGTTTCTGTCAATATTTCTTGCCGTCATATTTGCTGCCGAGGCGATTACATTTGCTTGTTTTATAAAGTATGGTCGATTGTTGGTAGAATTGCTTAATGGAAGCGCACGATTGTCGGGGGTTAGTGATGATATTTCTCAGGAGAGTATTGTTAAGTTTGCGAAATATAAAATGTATGTGACAAAGGTAAAAAAAAATACTGTTAAAATTTTTTCCTTTAATTTTCACGTGATCATACCGCATTTATTTAAATATTTATTGGTATACATTTAGATGAAATTGACAAATAGTATTCTCACAGTGGTCGTAGGCTGGTACACTGTATTTAGTCTTTTATTATTGCTTTTGCGAGACAAAATACCGATAACTTCGAAAAACTCGGCATTCATTATAGGTGTAAACGCGATTGGGACCGCGTTGGTGATCCTGTTTGCCTTATTCAGTATTGCTCATGGGTAAACCAATTTTTATATAAATATTTCCATTACGTTTTTTTTCTAATACGCGCTCCTTTTTCTGTTTTTTTTTCGAAAAGGGAACTTTATAAACGTTACTCAGAAAGAGCCGTCGATCTAATCACTTCTATTCAATGGTCGAATGTATCGCGTGTTCGATCATATGAAATGGAATATGACAACGGAGAAACTAATAATCCACGCGATTTACGTTAAAATAATATGACCTTCCTTTTATCTAAAATCTAAGATTACAATATATAGTTAATAATCAGTACTCTATAAGTGAGAGAAGCAACGGTTATCTTTTCAAAGAACTTTACTATGATCTTAGTTTACCATATCGTTCAATAGGATCGCCATCACAATCACGGATCTGAACAAAATGGCAAAAAGGATTTGTACGAATTTGGTAATTCATTATGAATCACCAAATTAACTATGTATTGATATAAGTATACCAATCATCGATCTTCAATGACTCGTGCATTAACCAAAATAATTACAGCCGAATATTTTTTCTGAAAGTGGGAATACCATTCAAAAGTAATACAGTACAATTCATTTTCAAAGAGTTTCAAAATTATCACGCCACTTTTAACAACCTTATTTAGGGTTATCTCAAGCTTAAGAATGGAATTAATTCTTATTTCTGTTCTTACAGTTTCACTTCGGTTATACGTTACATAAACGTCATTTTAGAACGTAGTAAAACAATCGCCTTAATTCTATTTTACTACGTACAGTCTTTTACAGTATATCGAAAATAATATTAATTTATAAATTCGAATATAAAAAAATTTCATCAATAAAGTCCATTTCACTAGGTACAGTGCATTTAACCTATTCAATACTGTAATACAGTACAGTATAATATTTTTCGTAAAAAAAGATTTTATAGACATTATTATATAATGAATTTTTTTCTTTTGCGTTCTTTTTTAGAAATTTGGATATTTTAATAAAGTAAATTGAGTATTTTGTTTTTTTGGTTCAAAAATCAATTTGAAATAATCTTAAATTTTAAGAAAATCGTTTAATAAAGCAGGTTTGTTATAATGTGTAAATCAAATAAAAATTTTTTTGACATAAAATTGTATTAAAGGATTGGTTATTTTTGAATCAATAATTACTTGAAGTCATATAGTATCTATAACCATGCAGGTATTTTTATAATATTATAACTTTTTTATAAATCTAAAAAATAATATCATTTCAATTATAAAATCATGTTATCAACAATAATTATTAACACATATATTGTATACTGTATATAATTATATTGAAATAGAGTCTGATAAAAAAACATTGAAAAATATTTTTAGATTAAAAATCACATGATTTAAATTAAAAGGCAAAAAACTTTTTTAAATTAATTTTTTTATTAAAAATTTTATTATTTTTGTAATAATAAAATTTATAAAAAATATACTGTATATATGCATACAGTATAATGATAATATTTATTTGTTAATTAACAAAACAAATAATATCGATTATTTAGTTTTTGTTTTTTATTAAAATATTGTAAGTACAGTATATTAAACCAAATAAATTGTATCTTTACTGTAGATTACTTAAATCAGTAATACATTAGATTTTGTAACAAAATATGTTATTAAAAGAAGTTTAAAGTTATAAAAAACTCTAAAACTTCCTGCAATATTACTTGTATCTTTTGTTAAATTAATTAATATGACTTTTGAAGACTAAACTTTAATTGCTTTAGAAATATTATAAAAATTGTCTAAAAAATTAAAAAGATTTTTTTTAATTATTTTTTACAGATTTTTTAAATTTTGTTATAATTAATTTTTTTAATATTTGAATTAATAAAAAAATTAAATCTATATTAAAAGAGCTAAATAACTTACCAAAACTTTAATAAAGCCAGATCTGTTAATCTGATATAGGTTATAAAAAGAATTTTGTTAATAATTACTTTAAATTTTTTTTATATTTCTAATAATGTATTTTAAATTATTTGTTTTTAAATAATTACTATGAACTTTTTTTTAAATTTTTCATATTATTGAGAATATTGTTCTTTAGTTAACTTTTTTTAATAAAAATTTTGAAGAAGCTATTCCATAAATTATAAGGCAGGCAAATTTGCCTTCATATTTAAAATTTTAATAATTTTTAAATATTAATTTTTATAACTTACTTATATTAAAAAATATATAGTTTAAGATATCATTTATTAATTTTATTAAGTAAAAAATTAAATTTTTATTGGAAATTTTCAAAATAAATAATTTTAAACTTTGTGTTTAAAATTTTAAAAATAAAAATTATATAAAATTTAATATATATTCAAATTAAAAAAATTTTTTTACTTCTAATACAAATTAAAATTTTTATAATCAAATTATTAAAATTGTAATAATTATTAAAGTTATTTTTTACAAATAATTTTATAAAAACTAATTATAAATTTTATGAATTTTAATTTAAAAAATTTTTAAGTTTGTTTAAAATCAACTTTATTAAAAAAATTTTTTTTTAAAATTAAAAATTTGTTTATAATTAAACTTTAAATTTTTATAAAATAAATAATAAATAAATATTATAAATAGATAATATATAATTAAAACTAATATTATATAAATTTTTAAAAAAATATTTTGATTATTTAAAAAAATAAATGAAAAGCAACTTTTTAGTTAAAAAATTTTAAACATTATAAAAAAAATACTCTATGATTTAAGAAATACATATAATACCTTTTACTTGAAAAAAAATAAAAAAATGAATCTATATATTAAATAGATCTTTAACAAAAAATTTTGTTATCAATTTTAAATTGTTTAACTTATTAATATATAACTTTTTTAGCTAAATTTTATTTTATATATATAGTATATAATAAAACTTTTTGAAATTTTTTATTTGTTTGTTTTTTTTTTTTCCAATAGATAAACATCTTTTCTTTATTTATTTGTATATTAATAAATATACATAGTAAAAGAAACAACATCTCTTGGGTGCAAAAAGCATATAACAAGTTAAATGCTAGCCTGCCTACACATTTATACCTAATTAATTTCGAAAAGAAATTTTAAAACAATATTATATATACTAAATATAGCTGAGTAGCAGCTATGCTTACTTACTTAGAATTTTTTGTTGGATATAAATAAAATGAAAAGTAAAAGAAAATTGAGAGAAAAAAAAAAAATTCTATATTTGATGCTATACAAGTGAGAAATATAATAAAACTAGTTATATAACTAAGAATATCTATTCGGTATGTCACTCTGATAGTTCCATTTTGTTTAAGTATACTGAAAAATATATTGTATCGATTGGCCAGGCTACTGTCCAGAGTATATAGTAGTAATAATAATATGTCTTCTTGATAGTTATTGGTATATAGTGATGGTGGTTAATTGGTTGGATAGTTATTTGAATATATAGTAATAATATTAATTATATATTTAAGGATGCTTATTTGATATGCCACTCTGGTAGTTCCATTCTGTTTGAGTATATTGAAAAATATACTGTTTCGATTGGCCAGGCTACTGTTCAAAATATATAATTGTGATAATAATATATATCCTTGATAGTTGATAATATGTGATAGTAGTGATTGATTGGTTGAGTATGATAGGTTTAAATGTAGTGGTTGTTGATTTGCAAAGTTAAAGCTGTGTTGTTGTTTTTGGATTAATGATTGATGAAACGTGCTTGTTATTTTGGTGTTTATTAATAAAATAAGGTCATGTAGTTGAACTGATTTTCATTTTTAGTGTTGCTTACATTGATCTTTGGCAGGTATGATGGATGTGTTTGAATATTTGGTAATGTGTGATTGGTTGAAAATAGAATATTAATCAGTTGCCAAGGGCAAACTGATTGCAGTTTTTTGGAAAAAAAGTTTTTGAGCAAGAATTTTTGATTTTTGTGGCGCAGTAAAATGTATTGAATGATGGTAGAAGTTGTTTTTTGTATATATCAATGGTTCCTCAGGCCAGTGATATAATTTTTTATTTATTTGTTATTCCAAAACTATTAAATAAAAAATAAAAAATATTAAATATTAAAAAAACTCTCTCCTGATTGCATCTATTTTGTTAAAAATTTTTTTTTTATGATAATTTTAAGCAAGAAAAAATGGTTTACTCTTTTTATCACAAGTAAGCTCCAGCTCAGAAACTTATTAATATTCAAGACAACTAATGCAGTAGGATGGGACCTCTGGTTGAAGTCTACTCAAGTTTGGAAGTTTTGCTTATCCTTCAGTTGCATGAGAAAAGGCCTATGGCAATTCTCTTTTCTTTAGTTTTCTTGCACTCCTCCTTATTCTTATTTTATCATAAAAACTATACACATCATTACCATCATACTCACTAAGTCAAAATCCATACTCAAACAGAGTTAGTGGATCTACTGTTTGTTTTAAATCAACCCTTATATACAATATCTTTATAGCAATATCTGCTGCACCACTTTCAATTTTCAAAAATTTCTCATCCAAAAAACTGAAATCAGTTTACCTCTTCAGATGATTAGTGCTCTTCAATCATCCAATCAGATTTCATTTAAAGATCAAAACAAAACTCAAACAAGCTCAAACCGGTTTTGTATCACAACAATGATCACAATAACAATAACAACTAATATATTACCAACAACTATAACAACAAACAATATCACATATACTTTATTATCTATAGTAATTGAAGAGCCAGAGAGATGGGACCACAAGCCTGTTAGGGACTTTCAAGGGGAAATAATTGGTTTTTTACTTATAGATTTTATAGTATATTCGATTTAGTTTTAGTTACAGTTCTTTTCTTTTCAAAAGAATTTGCAAAATTTCCTGGGATAGTAGGCATAGCCACTACTCAGCCTTATTTAGCATATTAATATTGATTTTGGATTTTTTTACAATATTAGTTAGATATTAATAAATAGGCAAGCTAGCATTTAACTCTTTTGAAATAATATGAGGGATGTTATTTCTTTTAACAATGCATACCTTATTATATACAATATCAAAATAAAGAAATGATGTTTATCTACTGGAGAAACCACCTCCCAAAAAAAATTAATAAATATATTAAAATAAAGTATAAAATATAGAGATTATAATAATATAAATTTTATTAAAAAAGTTTTTTAAAATTTTTTAAAATTAAATTTTAAAATTATATCTTTGTTTCAATAAATAAATTTTATTTATTTATTTATTTTTTAAATGACTGGCA